TCAGCCTGGTGCATAGGACTGATGAAAACAAATCCAACTGAAGCTCCCCACACTCTGGCCACAGTTTCTCTTCATTTCCCATGACTGTTTTTGGTTTGTGTCCTCCTGTCGTGGCGAGCCCCTGCCAGGCTCTGATCTTCTTTCTCATAGTGAGCGAGTGACCGTGCGCTTTGAGTGCTCTTTGCCCTTGTCTTCAGAACAGCAGTAGGGGAAAGACTGGCAAATGTTAGATGATTTTTAAGTTATCTGTGTTAGTAATTAACTCCATTTCACACAGCCTTGGGCTCTAAATAGACTAACTTATGGTGTAGCTAACCATATTTTTATATGAGCAGTGAGATGATGAACAGTGACCGGGCCTCCCCTCTACAAGCAGGCCCCGTTCTGTTCTTCTCATGAGAATTCTCAGAAAAGGGGGAGAGGAAGACAAGAGATCAAAACTTCTATTTGCCTTCTATTCCAATGCCTCTATTTTTAGCCAAGTTTCTACTAAACTTGAAGAGGCAAATTTTCATGAAAAATTTTTTAGTGGACTAACTGTAAAATATCACGAAACAAACACTGGAGATAGAGAGGGAAGGATGGTTGTTTTCCATCAAGTTTGTTATCTAACTTGCAGGCAGGGTAGTGTTTAGATAATATGAATTTAAATAAAGTGACTTGGGATGTAAACATGAGCACTGGACATTTATTTGTAATGAAGACTGGAGTGAAGGAAGCCTTTTTGTTTTAGCCATTTTCTGTCTTAACTGCAAGTGTCCCATCCACACCTTTCTCCAGGGTCAGACTACCTATTAGGTAAAATAAAATTATGTTGGACCTGTGAAGGGAAAGCCTGCTGCATGTGATCCAAGCTACGATGAACAGAGCAGCTCCCACTTCTAGGATGAGCTGATACAGGAGCTGCCATCAATAGCCATCAAAGGTTGTCAGTGCTATCCCCCTGTTCACCTGGTGCAGGCACTGGAAACAAGGATTGGGGAGCAGCTGTCCTGAATCTGCAGTCACAAAATAGATGAGGTTTTATCTTTACCATAATGCTTAGTTCAGTATAGTATGTATTCAGCTTAATTCTTTTCCTTTGCTCGTTCTTATGAATTGGTCATAGTTCATTTTCTCTCTTAGCTATACTTTCTACTAGAATTGTAAAAGAAAGACCTGCAATAAACTTTCTTCATTAAAAAAAAAAAAAGAGATAAAAAGTCATTCATTTCTTTGAGAACTCAGTTCTTTCATCAGCGAAACTGTTGTCTTCCATACCTACCAAAAACACTTCATAGAATTAATTTGAGGGATTCCCTTAACCTTTTAAAGTTCATTGACTCCTGTGGAAGGCTTGGGAACACATGATTAAACATGATGGTTTTACCTTTTGAAGAGGCATTTAAAGATCAGGAAGTGCCAAGTGAGAACTTAAGGTCACGGTAGCTGAAAGATGTACAGCAAGAAGAATGGTAATAAAGGTAGGGAAACACACTACATGTCTTAAACTATGATAAAAAGGTTGGGTACAAGCAGTCATTGTGAATTAACTTTGTTGTGGGCTCGGTAGAGTTAAGTTTTAAGATATTTGGAGAGTATGAGAATAGCCTTTATATAAAATTATATACATTCACAATTTGAAACAGTGCAAAAATATGAAGATAGCACTCTACCCTTACTCAGAACAGAAACTATGAGAGTCTGTTAGCTGGCCCTGTGTGTGGTTGGTGATTTCTATAACAAGTCTCAGATGAAGCTCAATAAAGAATGTGTGATTTCAGGTGGAGAGGGTTAACCAGCCACTACCCACCAGAGCTGAATTCAGGGATTAGTGGAGAGGGAGCACCAAGAAAGTGATGAATGAGTTGAGTTCTGTTTTTCCTAAGAGGATGGATATTCAGGTGTGCAAGGCCTAGATATTTATTTTCTGAGGCAAATCCTCTCATGGATTAGCAGAGATACCCAAAGTGTTACACAAAACCTCATGCATATGTAAAAGAAAGGATGATAATTTGCCTGGTCAACAGCTGCCAGTTCTAAACTATTCCTGTGTCTAATGGAAGAAGAGAATAAAGATATAAATATCCTGAAATTGTGTCCCTGAGTTCATGACTGATCAACATCTGATCATTCTTATACAAGTATTTTGATTCACAGAGCAGAGGTGGGTGCAAGACTGTGCCAAAATGCCTATTTAAAGATAGTGATGACAGCTGGAAATGATGATCATATGGCCAACATAACTGGATAAAAACATGGGATAGGTAGGAAAGTTCTTAACTCTATGTATGACCTCAGGAAAGTAGTATCACTACTCCATGCCTTAATATTCCACTTCTTGAGCTTCCACTTGTTTGAGCTGGGGAATTTCAGTCCTTTAATTCAAGGGAGTGAATCTGCAAAAACCTCATTGACCTCTCTCAGAAACAGAGGTTCACAGTTCAGGTATGTGGTGGCAAGACCAGCAACAGTGGCAACTTCTGCAACATCTAATGCTGCTTTTCTTCTCTGTGCTTCAAAATCAAACTAAATGTATATGAAAGAGGTTGCCAAAATATATAATAAAAGCAACCAGGCGTCGTTCAGTGGGTTCTTGGAGTGCCCTAGTGGTGCAGGAGACACTCTAGCACCCTGGTGTACATCCAGGAGATCAGAAGCAAGATCCAACCATATGATTTCCAACAGGGATGACACATTTAGCCTTTATGAGAAAACTCTCCGTTTCCTCAATCAATTAGAGGAAATTTAATCGGTTTTGATCAATTTGAAATAAAAAACTGTTAGCTAGGAAGCAGTCATGTGTTAACACCACTACCTCTGTGCTCACCAAAACAGGGTTCAAATTCCTAATCACCGAAATTATTTTGGTCATCATTAACTGCATTAGTTTACTATCTTGGGTTGGTTCTGCATAGAATTAAACTATTTTGGATTTCATGCGATGTTTTATCATGTGGCAAATCCAAGCGAGTGGCTGAAGTGTTACACAAACATCCTAACCCAGTATGGGAAAGGTCTCACTGGTTTAGAGCAACACCCTCAAAACAGCCAATCTCTGGGTTTATTTAATGAGGATAAAACCAGTTTCTCAAGAACAATATAGTTAGTCCTCTTTACTCCTTTTGAATTACTTTTGGGAGAAAGAGAAAGCAAAACAAAGATGCCACACCACAAACAAACTTAATCTCTGTGAATATTAGGACATAAAATGGAAAAGCTACAATCTGGACAGTCACTATATCTAGGCCATTCTTACTCAATATATCTAACAGCAATCATGTCCTGACTAAAGCTACAATAAAATTAATTTCCCATTACCTTAGCTCTTCTGGACATTTATTGTGCTGACTGCTAAATCAGCAGAGCAGGAATCTTTATCAGGGATAAGTGCTGCAGACAGTTGGAGGACTACCAAGAGGGTGTCAGGGAAGAAACAGTAACAGATCCATACACTTTGCAAGAGGCTCCCTTTCAGGTGCAGAGGGTTTCTCGTAACACACAGCACAACATAGCCAACAACTGCAGAAATATTCTCAGAAGTCTCACGGCATTCATTTCCCTCTGCTTGTAGTAGCACCACAACACAAGCTTCCTTCAGAGAAACCCCCACCCTGACCACCCCATCACCTCTTGCCAGATCCTACGGCATTTCTATCAGAAATTTTCACAAAATAGAAGGGGTTTCAAGATACTTCTGCCAAGTACTTCTCCACAAACCAAATGTGCAGCACTGCTTCTGACTCCTTGACTCTCTGACCACCCTGACTCTCAGCAGCAGCAAATGCTACTTTCCAGAGCACCTCCCATAAAATCCAGCTGACAGCTGGTCCCTCTGAACTTACCAAAACAGAAGAAAGCCCAGACTGTCACATAAAGAAATGCTTTTCATAAATGCTCTCTCTGCATTTGAGGAGAGAAGTCAGTCCCTCTTTTCAGGAATATTCTGCAAATAACAGCCAAATGAGGCCCAGCTGCAGGTTAATGCCTGGCACCTGCTAATTAAGCAGGTTTCAGGCAATCCATGCTACACAGGTGCTGCCCTGAACAGAGTAACAAATACCTGAATAGTTGCAAATTTAACCCTGCTTTGCCATCCCACCACAAACAGCACGACGTGGACTAGTTCAGCCAAAGCTGAGATCCCAAGTGCACACCTGGATCCCCAGAGGGTATGTGGGCTTATCTATGGAAGGAGGGACATGTCCTACTCACCAAAGCAGTCCAGAATGGGGGTGTCCTCATAGGCCTGCTCCAGAGAAGGTGAAGATGTCCTTTCCCACAGAAGGGCTGCAGCAATCAATATGCAGGACACCAGGCTGCACCAGCTGCTGCTTCCCCATGGAGTGGTCATGCCATCACACTGGCTGGATGCAACTCGGGACAGCACACACAGGTACAGTTGTGCTTTCAGTTTGGGAAAGCAGCTCATGATCAAATAGGGCCCTTTCTGAAACAAGCAATCTGCCAAATCAATGCCCTATGAAATATTTTGGCTCTAAGATCAGAAACTATCATTTCTCTCAATAATAAAAGTGTTTCCTAAGTCAGCGGGAAATCAGAAAGAGAAGATATTCAGGATTTCCATTTGGCAAAATACACCTTTGCTTGTTTGTTTTTTCCCCTCCACCCAGCCTAGGAAATCTACCACTGGCTTCAAACAAATGCAAGTTGCACTTCAAGAGCATACCAATTACCCCTCAGACTCTTCTGATATGAGGCTATGAATGTTGTTGAACTGAAAGAACTGTGAAGTACAAGTTTTGCATAGCAAATGTTATTGCTTGGCACGCTGGGCACTTACTATAGTCTTTGCTTAATCACATCACATTCTGCTACACAAAACATAAAAATGTAACTCTACTGATATCACCATAACCACCTCCATGTGAAAACGTAGCAAGCACAGAAAACTTGGTCAGCATTTCCTAAGCACCAAGAGTACATTAAATGCATTAGCCATGACACCTTTTTCCTCTGTTGGGAATATACCGTGGAATCACAAGAACCCAGTACTGCACTGAAGCCCTCAATTACAAATGTAATTTTATTTAATTTCTTCACTCAAACTGAATTTTCTCATTCCAAATCTTTACTGAAAGAGATAGTAATTAAATGCTTAGAAAAACCAGGAACTGCTCCAGTAGGCAGCTAGAGAAATGTATGTATCAATACAGATATGGAATGTAAATTTCAACTCATATAGATCACAACATACAAAGAAGATTTTTATGCAATACAGACTTACAAAACAATAACAGTTCTTTTCACAAATATTTTCACAGAGTTCTGCACAGCAATCTTGTAGAAAAGTAGATTTGTGCAACACCAAAATAACTTATTGTTCCTTAGTATAAATTATTTTTCATTTCCTAAAAGAAAGAGGTAATTTAATATGACTGGGCAGGATCTGGCTGGATTTGGTGATAGCAAAACATGAAAGACATCGTTGCTTTTTTGCAGAAAAGGAACATGGCATGTGCTACGGTATTGCAGGGGCAAATTCTGAGGGGAAAAACAGAAAGTAAGTCACCTGCAAGTCTAGTACTTCTGCTGCTGTAGGGGGGCCATGCTCCAGCAAGCACCTGCTGCCTCAGTGCTTTCACAGTCCACCAGCAGAGGTGTGCTTTGGAATTTGCACCTCACCTACTAAAAAATACCTGCCTCTGTCAGCTTCTACTTTAAAGTCTTCAAAACAGCCTTTCTGATTTTGAGGAACAATCCACATTTTGGTGTGCTTTGAAGGAGATGCCAGATAGCAACTAAAAGGATTCACACGCAAACTCCATTCCTGATTTCTCTCTCTGAAATGCACAAAACATACAACTAAAAAAAAGAACTAATTGCCTAGGCCTAGAAACATGCTTGAATAGTAACATTGATGGAAATGATTTGCAAAGTTTAAAATTACATTAACCATAATTTAAATATTACCCCTTGATTCCCAGAAACTTCAGTGCTGATGTAGTACAATCATTTGGAAAAGTACAAGACAAAGTGTGGTACAGATAGAACAGATTAAAATTCCCCAAATATCATAATTCATTTCCATTATGTTAAAATCATATATTCCTCAAGGTTATAGATAAAGCTTCAGATGGAAAATCTGTTTCTTCATAATATAACTAGAACGTGAGTTTTAACCGTCTTTACTTTAGGTTTTGTTTACATACAGGGATCAAAATAGACTTCTCCTTGTGACTAAAAATATAGATTTTTAACTACAGAACCCAGCAGCTGTTTTTCTGCTTCTTTGCCCTTCCCCCAAAAAAGTCAAGCGAGGTCTACAAAAATAGCAATTAACTTTAAAAAATAGGTTGCTTCTTCCAGCAAATTTAAGTTACATTCAGATGTAATATAACTATTTATAAAGGAACCATGTGGCTCGACACCAAGAGAGGTGTGCTGTGTTCAGTTCCCTGCTGACACAGCTGCCCGTGTCAGTGCTCGTGTCGGTCGCTGTGAGGATCAGTATCTGGTTTGATACTCGTGGTGCCAGCGATTGAAGTCATTGTAGAAAACCACGATGCTCCCGGATGCCATGCCAGTCATTATGCACCTGAGGAAAGCACAGGAGCACACTGGTTAGTGAACCACCTCATGGTCATGTATATCAGTCAAAAACCTGAGGATTTACATCAGTCTAGGCCCAAGAACCCTGAGGACGCGACCAGTTTCCACCGAAGACAGCTGGAGCTAGAAGTGCTCCACAGATCAGAAAACTCAGGCTTTAGGGGCTCCCATCTTGGCCTTCCAAGAACTTCAGAAAGCTGGATTTGAATAAAACTGCCATCAGCAGCACCTCTGGCAGGCTTATGGATCACAAAGAGTACAAAACAACATGCAACAGTTTTTATGGTCAGCCTGAAGCTATGGTTGAGAGTTAGACAACAGAACTGTTCACCAGCATCACTGTCCTGAAAGGCCACTTCAGATTTGCCAGGATTATTTCTTGGCTGGCTTGGTTTGGTTTTTAGGGATATTGGAGTGGGATGAAGCCATGCTGAAGCAGCAAAGTGAAGGAAGTCTAGAAGTGTTCATTTCAGTTTCGGCTCCCTCAGTGAAGCACATCTACATGAAGGAGCTGGATGTGGGCACAGGCCTTGAGTTGGAAATACTAGTGTTTGAGTTTGAAAATGATCTGAGGGCTTTGATTGTTTTGGAAGCTCCTGAAAGCAATCACTGTGCTTTCCCACTGAGGCAGTCTTTCTTAATAAATTCCTTACCCTTGGCCTACTACTAGAGATCATTAGATATATTTGAAAAGCCATGACCCTGACACGGCACACAATTACAGGAGTTTCTACATTTTCTTCTCTACTGTCTCATTAAAGTATTACAAAAATCAGAAGCATAGGGATGTATAAAATTCTGGCACCTCAGGAAAAAAGCCTCAGAATTAAAAAATTCAGAGTAAAAAGCTGCGATTTTTCCTTCAAAACAAAGACTGAATAGGTGATCATCAAAACATTGCATTTTGATAGTATGACAGCATTTCACTTCAAGAGCACTATTCTGATTCTTTTTCTATTAGGTTAAAATGTCTTTTTACACAGTCTCAAACACACACATTTATGCATACCAAATAAATAATGCTGAGTAATTATGTAAAATTACTCAGTAAATTACTCTGAGTAGATCTCTTCTGAGTGTCCTTGTCTTCAAACCAGAAGTGAATAGGTTCCTAACTTGAGCTCATGAATAAATGTATATATTTCCATGTTAGATTTCAGTTTATTAACATGCCATAAATTACAGTTTAAAGATTCTCTAAATGCAAAATTTTATACATCTCAGAGGTCTGACATTCAACAGCTGTAACTCCAGTTTTTGAAATATAATTAACAGCAGAGGCTTTTTTAATGGAAAATGAAAGCTGTTCAATGTTTCATTGAAGTTCACAGGTTTTCCTAGCTTGGATTTTTTTAAAGTTCATTTTATCTAAGTTTTAGAAATTTAGTCAAAAATTTTGAACCATTCAGTATGGATTTCAGTAAGTGCAAGGTTAAGAGCCTCAGCAATATGCTTTACTGCACAATGTAGACATTCCTAAGGGATTTAGGAGCCAAATCTGCTTGAAAATTACACAGGAGCACCACTAATACACCAAAGCAAATAAAATTCTAGCCTGAAAGCTAAAAGTGTACAAATGAGATGGTAAACATCCATCTTATAAACAAACACTGTTTTTGTGACAAAAACACAGAAGCACTTTTAAGTACAGATGCACTGGAAAGTGTGATGTAAAACAGCAGCGAAAATACTCCCTGGCCACCTTCAGTAGGAGTCTTCAAAAAGGTTTATGATGTATGTAGATAAAATAAATTGTCTAAAATAAGAATTACTCTTTGCTTTGGCAAATACATGGATGTGTGGAGGGAATCTTGGTGTGCAACTATTCTAACTGCTCTATTTTTAACATAAAGGTCTGGAATTAGGAACGTGATTTGTATCATACGTGGAAGAAGAGAGATGAAAGCACACATGTAACCTTCCACCTCCATGTGACCCACACTCTACATTGGCCCAGGCCAATAACTCAACCTATCTTGAAAGTCTGCCAAATAAGATTTCTTGGATCTCTCTCTTCATTCCCCCAAGAGCTAAAATCCTGAAAAATATTATCTGCCCTAAATATGACATGTTAGGGAAAAAAAAACTTATGCAAGCACAGAATTCTCAAGATAATCACCAGGATCTGTGACCCACAGAAAATCAAAACTGGAAGAAAAACAGAAATGCAATTTAATTGTAAGCATGTATTCTCCAAAATTCTTGTCCAGACCAGGCTTTGCTCTCACCTTTGGTCATATGACAGGGCCATGGATCGGATTCCAGCATCACACCCTGGGTAAGCAAAAAGCTGCTTGAGGTCCCACATCTGCCACACCATGACAACTCCATTGTCTCCACCTGTAAGCAGATACTGTCCATCTCGACTCAGCTGAATTGCCTAAAGGGAAATCACATGGATATTTGTCAGATAAATATGTGTTGCTCTAACTCCCCCACTTTTACTTTCAGTAAAAGGTTTCATATTGACAGCTGAAGATCCAATACAACATCACATCAATACAAGCTTTTGGGAAGCAACATTATTGTTATATTATTTTATCCAGCAGTTATTTACCCAGTTATTATGCACAAATCTCTTTAATACATTAGATGTCACTAGCTGAGTTTTACCTGACCTGTGATTTACTCCATATTCCAAAGATCTAATATCAGGTCACCTAAAGAAATTTACTCTTCTAATTAGCTAGATTTACAAGACCCAGCAGCACTGGCATTCCCCCAAGGGTCTTAATACTATCCTAGCAGAGGCTGACTGCTGAAGAGAACCAAAATGTTATACAAATCACTAGAATTAATTTAGACCAGCATTTTTAGATTCCTGCTCTGGATTAATAAAATAGTGATCCACCTCTCTTAAGAGACACGGTGCTTCCTTTCATCATCCATCCTGAAACTGCCTATGACAAATTCTATGGCTTATACCCTGATTTTGTATGCACCATGGGGACTGATGGCAAATCTACTCTTGAAATCTTTATTTGGGATCCAGATCATGGAGAAAGATTGGGTATCTTTGGGTTTCAGAGTGAAATTTCTTGAAACAGAAATCTTCAATCTATTTTGGTACTTCTTGTGTGCTGTTGGAAAAATCATGATACATAAAAATAAATCTGGATACCCTTTCAACAAAATACACACTCTTCACACCATAACTTATTCATGATAAATTTCAGCTCCCTGACCCAACTTTTCAGTAGAATGATGTAAGAACAGAGGATATTCAGAGCAACGGCTTTTAAATTCCAAATACACACATTCTACAAACAGGCTGATCCACTTTAACTAAAACATTGTCACTGGAGGGCAAGGAAATTGCCTCAAGATGATAGTGTATAAGCAAAATTCCACCTCAAAGATCTAAATTTAGGAAACAGTAGAAAGAACTGAAGATAGGATCTTGCAAACATCTCTCTCTGCTGAAGTCTGCAAGTATTTTGGCACTTGCAGTCTCTGCTTCTACAGTTTTGCCATATGCAAAAACCTGCTACATACTGTGATTTTAAATTCCTCAGGAAAAGGAAGTTTTGGGGTTTTTTTAACATACAGAATTTATAGTGCCTGCCTCACAAAAAAATGAGAGAAGCTAAAACACAAAGACATTACGTTCATGCAACATTGAAGTGTTTATACAGACTGCTGACAAGCCTAGAAACCAAAATATACAGTGTGTGTAAGATACTGCTCCATGAACAGCAATAACTGAAGTCAGACATATTGCACATCTGTATTTTTGTATTGCTGTACTCTATTACTATGATGCCAAATACATTCTTTAAGAATTATATGATGTGCGACACTTAGATTAAGATAGAGTTTCTATATTATGTTATAAATTTTGAGTGTTTACTGCAACAACTCCCAAGTAATCAGAATGAATCACATTGCTAGAATTTTATTTCACACAGTAACTTTAAAAGGAATGTAATTGAAATACAAATGCATACTGTAAACAAAATACAACACTGAACAGAAAAAAAAAAGGATGATAAAACTATTCCAGCTGTGTTTTGAATTACGATGACAAGACATACATGCAAATTTGGACACAATAAAGCATATTTTTCCAACCATATCAAAGTATGAAAAACTAAATACTAACCAAGGCTAGAGTTGAGTATGCTGAGCTGAAGCTTCTCTCCCCCAAGAAACAAATGTTCCAACCATAAATTGCTTCTGTGATTTTTTTTTATCAGCCTACAAAAACATGGGAAGCACCTCCCAGAGCACAGACTCAAGGAGCCTGAAAACACTAATTTAGAGGCCATCTTAGAAAAGTAGGGTAACTCAGTAAGAAAGACGTAGAAAACAAACTGATATGACTGTGAAAACTATGTAGAACTTGCATGTGCTGAGTAGATGATCATGAGATCTAACATACTACACATAATTATGAAAGAGATTATTCATTAGAAGCAAAAATCAATATGGGGTGGTTTTCTTCTCTATAGCAATGGCAGTCTCCTAAGGGTATTTTCAAATTGCAATGAAGACCGTGACAAATAATTATTTGCTACACTTATAAAATTCAGCTGATGAAAATCCATTAACCTTATGGTCATGGTTCACTTGAATTTTATACTTGAGGCTTTTACCGAAGAAATGCTATATTAAAAGGCAAATTAAAGCCATTAATCTTTTAACTCTTCCACTACCTGCAAGATGCAATGGGGTTTGTGATCTTTTGATTACATAAAGTATAGGCTTTGAACCCTCACTAATACCTATGCAATTTTACTAAGTCATTGGCTTGTCAGGAAGACAAGATGTTGATTTATTTAGTTTTATTGTCTATTAATAAATTTCTCAGCCACTTGCCTACATATATATATACACACACATATATATGAATGAAGGAAGGAATGAATGAATGGAAGAAAAAGGTCACCCTGTCAACATTTCAGTTTCATGATATGCCCTCCAAGATTTAACAAACAAAAGGATGCTTTTACTCCCAAGTACTCCAACTGGTATAGAAGATGACATGAATCAATTTTACTGTTCTGCTTTTCCCCAGCGTAGTTTATCTACAATTCTACTAGCTATGAAACTGGAACAACTCTGCAACTAATCTTTCTCACAACACGAGCTTCAGACTCTCAAATAATCCCCAAAGCGCACAATTTCAGCAACGTTCTAAAAGCTGCATTTCTGACTTGTATTTCCTTGGAAAGTCTCAAAACTTTGCACAAATCCCTTTTAACGTTTCGGGTTTTTGAAAGGCAGTGCTTTGTAAAAAGGCAGAGCTGACACTGTGACAGCCCTGGCTTACAGCAGCAGGAGTCTTGTGGGCACTTCCACATTTCAAAACAGACTCATGAAAGGAAAATAAATTGGTTCCTCTGGGTGAAACAGCATACAGCCTTTGCTTAGGGTAAAATAACTTTGCTTCTCAGAACAAGCAGACTATTTAGAGTTAAGTTATTCATTAAGACATCTAAACACTACATGGTAGATGTACTGTGATATGCCTAAGCTCCGCCGAGCAATACAGTATTTAAAACAAAAACAGGTGGAAGGCATTGATTAGACCCCGAATTTCCCCAGAGCATCTGAAATTTTTCTAGCAGTTTTCTAGCCCAAGAATACAAGAAGGAAAATCAGAATGTTGATCCAAACATCACTACTGAAAACTGCTAGTTTCGCCAATAACGTTCTGAAATACTGGCCCATAATGACAGAGGGAAACAGAAACTGTGAATGTTACATTACAGATTCAACACTTATGACCTTTTCCTTCCCTTTTCCATCCTCCTCAAGCAAAAGCCAAGGAAGAGTGTTTGTCGGCACAGCCCATGGGTAGGTGCTATTCATTTTAAATGCCCCACTTTAATCATGCAGTTGCCACTCGCCTCCTAAGATGATATAGTGCAGAAGCACTGGGAAAGACGCTGTAGGTTGTTTAAGCATAAAGCTCAGCTGGGACCACTGGGAGAGAAAGAAAACAAAACAAAACAAAATAAAACCCCAAACCCTGTACAAATGTAATTCTGGCCCACAGAGAGCAGAACTTCCATCGCCTCTAGCAACATTCCTAAAGCTGTGGGTACTGACTGAAACACTACAGAAATTGTTTTAGCCGGCAAGGGAGTTCTAGATATTTTACAGATTTGCTGGCCTAGCTGACAACATAATCACAACTGAAAGTGACAGATTATCAACATTATTAATGTAAAAAGAGAAAACACTGTGATATGTTCTTGCTTTATGGCAAGAACTGGGATGAAGGGTAGGCTGAAAACCTCAAAAGCATTTGTACAAGGACAGCCAAAGGTACAATTTCTGAGAACAGATGCAAAAATCTACATTAATTTGGAAAAATGTCTTGGGACAGAAATATACACATTCCTACTTCATTTCCCCAGCCTCGAATCTGCACTTGAGGCTGCCACAGCATGCAAAGATGGAATGCCCTCTCACCCCTGCAGACTGCACTCTCACTATGGAAAAGAGACCTAGCAGAGAGTTATTTCTGCATATTCCACCACCAACATATCTGACACTTTGAAAATCCAGGAATACTGGATTAACGGAGCATGACAGACTTTTAGAAGGTTTTAACTGGAATATACTGAATTACACTGGAAACTTCAGTGCTGAAAAAGCATTCACTGTTCCATGTAAATTATAAAATGGAAATAATGAAGATCAAAATTCTTTCAAATACATTGACACATTCTGCCATCTTAAGAATTAGCATGGATAGAGTCAAGAAAAGAACTGATGCAAATTTAAAAATGCTTAATTTTGCACAACAGCTGAAAGAATGTCAATAATGCTGTAAACACAAGGGCAAAGAGGCATTTTCTTCCTGAAATGTGTAATCCAAATAAAGGAAAAATTTTTGAGAGTTTTCAACTCAAGAGAACACTGGAAATCCCAGCAGCTGAGTTCCTGGGATCTTCCATCAGATTATGAAAGTCAGCTTGGAGGTGTACTACTGCTATGTGCTTGGAACAACAAAAGTCTCCTCTTGCTGATGTTAAATTTTTAAACAGTTTTTATATAGAAAACACTTCTTTACTGTGAGGATGACTGAGCACTGGCTTGGTTGCCCAGAGAGGCTGTAGAATATCTCCATCCCTGGAGACACTCAGAAGCCACCTGGACACGCTTGAGGAGAAGGGCTGGATGATATAATCTTTAGAGGTCCCTTCCAACCTCAACCTTTCTGTGATTTTGTGCCTCTCAGACCACGACTACTGGCACAGAGACCATAACTTTAACTCAGGCAGCCTGAACGCTGACCCAGAAATATGATCTTGTTTCATGCCTCTGCTGCCTTCTGCCGCTTCCTAGCAGATTTGGCAATACTTGTTCATTCTTCTTCTTTCCCTTTCCCTTACTTCTCATTCAAGGAAGAAGTAGGAATATTTTTAATTCAAGGGAAGTATTCTTTTGACATTTCTGCTTCACTGTAGTATAGCTGGCAGCTTCTGCTCTGCTTCATAGGTAATATTTCATAGGAACTGTCAAGAGACCTGCATTTTGTAGTATAAAATAATTTTCATAAAACCATAAGCTTAAAATGCCTCCTGCATAGTTTTGGACTTGCTCCATGTCTCTTGCAGCTAAAGATGTGGAACTTAGCTGCCTGTCCAGCAAATGCCAAAGGGCTAAGGAGTTGAAATATAGACATATGCCTATAAACTTCCTGAAGCTCAGCACAACACATGCTATCTGAACTAAGATGAGGGAATGTAGCCAGAGATGCCAAAAAAAGGTAAAGCTAACATCCAAAACAGCCTGTCCAATGGCCTCCTGCCTTCAGACTCAAAAGTAAAGACACAGCCCAGCCCCTCCTGGTCAGCAATTAGTAATGTTTGTATTCTTCAGTTCAAGGAAATGCCTACACGGTATTCCTTACTTTATGAACAGAGTTATTTTACAATTAAAACTGTAAAAATCCTCCTAATGCTATTAGGAGCATATGGCCCCCTTAATTTTTTTCAGAATACTGTTGTAATGGTCTAGTGCCATGTATTTACAGTCTGGCTATAGAAAAGAGTCTCCACACAGCTCCAACGTGGACAGCTTTTCCTGATACTGGACCTGACAGTCCTTAGCACATATTTGAGGACACTCACCCTTATCTTGTCCTCTGTTTCCATGGTGGCTTGCAGTCTCCCGTTCACACTGAACACACAGAAGAGGCCATTTTCATAATATATGACACAGTGGCCTTCTCTTGAAGCTTGAATAAGTTTTGGTCTCAGGCAGTTTTCAGGACCTTGTAATCTTTCAGGACTTTCTAATGTCCTCAGTAGATCTCCATTCATAGAATGTATGAGACATGGTCCTTCTAATGAGACAGAATAAAATTCTAGTTATTGATTTACATGCTCACATAAAGACCTCATATATCAAATAATAAGTAATGACTTCTACTTAAATAATCACTACTATAATACAATATAATGGTTTTTACCATGTTTAAATGGATTGCCTATGACTTTAAGGGTGCCAGAGGGTAAGATGAACAGCTTATCCCTTAAAGACTTTGTATTAAGGTATTTTAGAGCACCTATCAAAACCAGTTAGAGACCTAGCAGATTTTCTTGAGTGGATTTTCTTTTAAAACTAGTCGTAGCTAATTTTGAGCGCACAAAATTAAATGTACTAGAATCTTAAAATGAGATTTTCAAAACACAAAGACACACAGAGCTAAGTGGAATCAATTTACATAAGTAGGTATTCTAAAAGTGTATATTCACATATTAAGATTTTAATTCATATGTGATCCACTAAATATTTGCTTTTTAAAATATTTTGAAAAATACCTGAACTGTACAAAAGCCACACAAGTTCACATACATAAAACAGAAACACACACAGGTGCAGATGGTGAGTATACCCAACTCTGAAAAAATGCCTCAGTGTTGGTACTTTGGAAATACTAAAGCAGAAAGATCCTAATTCCAAGAAATTTATGGTTTAGAAATAATTGTGGCCAGCAAATATGAAAATTATAAAGACTATCTATGGAATCCACACCATTCTTTATAATTTGCCTGCCAAAAGCAGGCCTTTGAGAACACAAATGGGGCATATTACAGGCTTTGCAGCCAAGCTCAAAGAGCCTGAACAGAATTACTAGTAGTGTATATATACCCTTCATCAAACAAACAATCCAGCACATTCTCTTTCTCCTGAAACTAATTTTTGCTTCCCTTTTTAAGAAGTTATCCATAACAAACACACTTCACCATCCTGGCCATCAAGAGCCGTATCCATCTGTATCCTACATGCAATTACACACTGGATAAACAAACAGAAATAGCAATCAGGAGGGAAACTGATGTGGTTGCCTCTTCTTATAAATGTCTGAATAATTCTCAGTTTTAACATGTTTAAAAAGAGGTTTCAAGTTCCACGGCAACTAAAAAAAGGTTAGAAATAAAACCACCATAAATTTCATAAATTCTGCTACCAAAGACTCTACTCCTTTTTGCATTAAGGTTATAGCTTCATGAACAGAAAGAAATGACAACAGATACCTTACCTTTTGAACCACTTATTACCAGGCCAAGCTCAGCACAAATGGCAGCACAGGTGATCTCATAGTCATGCCCTGTCAAAATAGCTCGAGGAGTTGCAAAATCACCTTCAATGAAAAAACAATAAAAGCAATCCCTGGTTACAATCTATTTCCAAAATCACTGCTTTCAATCATTGAAGCATCTCCGTTTCCTTGCTCTTTGAGTTCATGTTCCTTACAAATCATTTCAATGCTCCCTGTTTGCATATGGTAGTTCTGCACTATCTGTATAGAACAGCAGCAGTGCACTACAGGACTTCAGCCTGCACATTTACTAGCACATATTAACAGAAAAGTCAGGTGTGTAGTAAAACTAACCAAAGTTGGAGCACATATACTTGTGTTTTCCCCTCCTTTCTCTTCCCCCTCTATATTTTCTAGAGGGAAAGGTCTAAGTCAACTACTACCTTTTCCTATAATAGGCGTAAGTAAATGCAAGTGTGACTACGACAGGTATGGAGAGAAGACACCTTCAGTGCCCAAAGATGAAGTAAAACATACAGTGACTGATCTTATTTTAACCTAATAACAGTGCTGAAACATCAGCCTGAAGTCTACTCCTTTGCAAGATGTGGAGGATCACAGCCAGTAAGAATTTCTGATGAGTTTGCAAAAACAAAACACCCAAACCCGACGTTAAATTACCCCTGCTCCTATTAGTCATTTGCCTGCAACAAGAACAAATCAAACTGTAATATTTTTAGATTCTCTTTGTGATCAAACGTATGTGAATACAATAAGAAACAAGAAATTGTACAACTTGCACATTTAAAGGAAAAAGAATCACTCTCCAGGTCAAGGGACACAGAAAGGGTAAGCAAATGCTATAAAGCTCTTTAAATAGTTTTATAACGCTGCTCACAGATTGTTCACTGCCGTCTTCAAGAGTGCTACCATTTCACGGAAATAAAAATGTTATTTTTGTGTTACCATATAATTAGCTCATTCATAGCATTCTACAAAGTATTTAAACTCTAATGAATGTATCTTGGGCAATATTATCATGTAGTTTCAAAAAGGTTTAGATGAGTTTTTAAGCAGCAGGGAATAATTTCACTTCACGAGAAATGATGATATGTGAGATACCAACAAGGCAATAAATAAAGCAGTGGTGAAATCAAACACTTTTTTTCTTGAAAAGCAGGGGATGGTTTTGCAAAGAGACAGAGTAATAATAGGACCAAGTGACTCCACTGGTTACTAAGGTAGCGTCATTCAAATTACATTTGGGGTTTCAACTTTTCAAAAGATAAACCCAGCATAATGCCATTAGTCTGTCCATGTAGAGCCATAAGAGTGCTAGCAATAGTGATACTGGGTGTTCTTAGAAATTACTGAGCTATATTTAAGTTGGTAGATACTCAGACTCTGCATGTGTACAGCGAGAGACTCCTCTGGAAAAGAAGTGTCTGGGCTTGCATAAAATAAAAACTTAGTTTACTCTCCATATTTTACATTTTTAGTCAGACCATTTACATCACCTCCCAAAATGCCTGTGTAGCTGCCACATTCAAATAGGTTTTTAGTAAAGCTCATAATCTACACCAGAGTCTCAAATCAAGGATTTTGACCTTTCAAAATTTAATTTATTCTGTAGTTACTATTATAATCTATAATTTATATCCACAATACAAAATCTTGAAAAGAAAATAAATCTATTTCTTCTTAGATATAGACATGGACACTAAATATGTATGTGTGCATGTATATACAGACATAGGCATGTAAGTTATCACCATTTTAAATCTGAAAACACTTTGGAGCAACTTGCTGGATTGTTCCTAATCTCTTAATAAATTATCATTAAAAGCTATTGCTTTTGTTTTGTATAATGTTTGGAAAAGCACACTCAAACCCAGGAAGTATGGCAGACAGTTCACAAGCAAAGGAAAAACTCCCAACAAATTAGAAGCATAAGGGTAGACTTAATGACCTTTAGGTACTTCTCAGGTGGCTGATCCTACAAACAATCACAAACCTTTTAGAGCAAACTTGCTCTATTGAAACTTTCCTCACCCAAACATGGGGCAGGCACCTTGGATGATTCATAAATGAACACTACGTAGCCAAGCCACAAATTTGCAGTTTTAGGGGGAAAGGTAACAGCAACCATAACAGTCTTCCTATCCAGTAACAAGTTAATGTTGCTGATTCAATTCTTTCTCCCTGTTGTCCCCAAGCCATAAAAGGAGGCAGCTTCGTGCATTTAAAGGTCTTGTTAGTTTGGTTTCTTTTAAATGAGCTGCCTATGTAAGCAAAATTTTAGAATTCTGGTTTTATTGCTTTATTTTGCTTTCAGAAATTACATTAACACATACTCACACAGACCAGCAAGGAATTAATCTAATTATACACTACACATTAATGAAACGTTTGAAGTCAGAGAAGTTTTAAATATACAACGTTGCAGTGGAGGTAATGAATGTAAGATGTTGGAGCTAGAAGGACTTATGAGAAGCAATGTCTGAATGAATTATTAGGAAGGACAGATAAACAAAATCCTCAAAGTAAACTTATTGCTTACAGCAACTACATCATTATAAGCTTTACCTGCGTGAAGCTGCCAGTAACTACACACTTAAAATGTAGGAGATAAGATTCTTAAAGCAAGAAGTAGAAACTGAGTATATATATTTATCACAGTTCACAGAAATTAAAATTACCTAAGTAACACTCACAGTCTTTTCAGAATTGGGACTTGACTTCAAACATAAGAGAGTATAAATCTAGAGGTGGCAGGATCAGTATTTCATAAATTGTATCAATCGTTTACTGAATTATATTTGTACTAAAGAAACACTTTAATTAAAACAAACAAACAAAAAAGGAAGAAATCTGAATAGTAACTTTGAAGAACTTAGGACCTGAATAGATACTGTAAAAGAGGAGTCTTGTGAAAAGTCAGGCTGACTCCTTTGATAAGAATGTCAAGTATTTAGGGGTTTCCAAGCCTCTGATTTTCCAAATAATGGGGTCAACTTAAAAGCTGGTCATAGAGCAGAACAGATTTCTTTAAAAGCTTTTAAACTGTTATTGCTTCAGAAGATTGTCATGGTTTTCAATAATGCAAAGAGAAAATTTTATTTTGTTGCTGGTTTAAGGGGCACCACTTCAAACTTTTCTAAATTGTTTTCGGGGAACTGACTTGCAGACCTTTTGAAAAGCTGGGGAAGTGACTTCAAAGGGAAAGGAGTCTTTGTCCGCTTAAGCAGGTTTACGACCACTGATGCAAACCCTAACTAAGAACTGAAAAGAATACTCAGTGAATCTTTATGGAGATCCTTAAGGAAGATGAACAAGTCAAATGAAATTAAAGATAGTTCAAATCCTAGCACTAATAACCAGGACACAATAGTTTTACAGATGTTCTTTTCTCAGCACAGGATACAATAATATCCTTAGTCTATACCATCACTGGGTTGCTACTTGAAGTTGAATGCTGTAAGATTCTTAATGCCACATTCACATTGTAACAAACATTGTCAATGATTTATTTAAGATACAGAAGGTGTATGTAAAGTTGTTTTCCAGTAATGGGCAGAGTATTTTACCTTTGCAGCAACCACTCAGATTATTTCGAAAGAACTCTCGTACATTCCAATAAATAATTTCTGCAAAGCTGTTTTCCCACAGAAAATAACATAAAATATCACCCTTACTTAAGTGACTAAAGTACATTTTAAATCATGAAATTCAAGCTTCAGAAGATAAAAGAAGAGCACATGATATCATGTCAGCCTACAGTGATATATCAGTGAAAAAATGTTAGGCGTTTGGAAACTACGTTTAAAAAGGAACAGTGGGATTACAGCAAAGTCAAAACTTTTTTCTAGTTTAATGACATCCAGAAGAAGATACGCCCTACTGGATAACAAGAAATTGGTTTGTATTGCTGGGTCTCTCTCTGCTATTCTTTTCCAGCTTCGGTGATGCTACAATACAAAACAGGATCATGACACGTGAAATCCATCCATAAATTCCTAAAATGTCCGCTTTCTTTATTTTCAGCACTAAGCTGTAAGAGCTGAGACAAATGCAAGAACTCATTTGAAAAAAAGATATCCCCCTAGAAAGAAATCAAACTAAGACTGACTGATAAACTTACCTCACAGTTAAATACAAGACACTCTTCCGACTGTTTATGAGTGAGATAATATTATGCAACACATTAAAATATAAAGTATTTGGCTATGCTCCTTTTTATGTTTTATACTGAGAAGACAGTTAATTATGAAAAGTCAAAGAGAGCCAAGCAGTCATTTCTAAATTACTATTCTATGATTGCAGAGGCTGTGGGACATTTTAAATGGCAAATTAATTATGTGATTTTATGTCAGTATAAAATCCAAAGTAAATGAAGCATCAGTTAATCTATCTTTTTACCTTCTTCTTGCAAAAGTAAGTGATTATTTTCTCAGAATGATGCATCAACCAAAACAAATTACACATGTAAGAGAAGTCTTCTAAAGTTAATTTTTAAATTTTCCCAATTTTGTAGTTGCTTCCGATGATAAAAATTGAGGAAAACAATAAAAGCTTTGAAATAAACCTGAGAAGTACAAATGTACCTACAAAAGTGTTTTCAGCAAAATGTAAGTAAATCAAGAAAACCAATTTGCTACTAGGCTTCTATATGGATTACATAGGAAATTTCAGAGTTTAATTACAAAACAATAACTGTTTAATATTATATAAAGTCTGTGTATTAATATTATTTACAGATCACAAACAGTGAACATTTAAATAACAACCAATTGGTTAGAACCTCACTTCACTGGCACAGAAAGTTATCTGATGGACTGAGATCTTACTCAAGTGATACCATACCATATTACTGAAATATTCTTAAAACTTCAGTTTGAATAAGCTTTCCTTTGTAAATATGCATTTTTATGTAACAATGTAATATTTTCATATTATATAGGAACTTCATTGTTGTCTGGTTCTTCACATGACACTCCATCAGCATTTCCTCTTTATTCCTTCAAACTACTCCCCATCTGTTCAGACTTATTTTACCCCAAAAAGTACAACCTTATGCCTAGATGCAAGTTTTGGTTTTGCAA